CCCAGCTGCGCAGGAGCGCTCATGGTTCGGTTCAAGCAAGACGGTGGATTTATGACTGCTAGAACTACTTGAAAGAAAGATCCCCGATACAAAGGCGCTCTTACTATATGGGCTTGGGCAGGTTGCACGTCGTCGCGACTCGTTATCTCGCATGGGTCGTTTCAATATAAATGAATACTAATTAAACCGCGTAATTTCTTGAATATTTTTCATTGGAACTAAATGATTCGTTACGTTTCCTGATTCTTTTATCTGCCATTTCAGGTGTTATCCTCCCGACCGGCGCGGAAGGTGGCGGAAGCAAGGGCGGAGGGAGCGACGGCGGCGGCGGCGGCGGGGACAACGAGTGGGGCAGCGCGTGAGTGACGCCGAGGAGCGCTTTTGGCAGCGGCGCCGCCGCCGCCGCGGGACGAGGAAGCGGAAGAAGGAAGGAAGAGGGGCGGGGAAGGAGGATTGCAGCGGGGGGGAGAGTGTGGCGCAGGTCGTTGCGGCGGCGGCGCCGCCGCCGCCGCCTCCGCTGTCAGCTGAGGGCACGCCCCCCGGGCGCGCAGCGTGGCGCGGCGTGGCGCGACGCTTCGTAGCGCGGTGCGGCGCTGCGTGGCGTGGCTCTTGGTGGCGCGGCGCGGCATGGCGCTTCGCGGCGCTGTGCGGAGCGGCGAGGCGAGCAGCGGCTGGCGGGCAACGAACCGGCGGCGCGGCGGGCCGACCGGGGGCGCGGGACACGCCCACGCCCCTGCCGCACGGCGCGGCGTCGGTGAGTAGTCTCCGCCCTTGTCCCCACATCTCGTCTCGTCACCTGCCGAATTTGATTTATGTTGCCCCCCCTCCTCTCTCTCTCTCTCTCTCTCTCTCTCTCTCTCTCTCCGTTTCTCTCTCCGTTTCTCTCTCTCTCCGTCTCTCTCTATCCGTCTCTCTCTGTCCGTCTCTCTCTCTCGGTCTCTCCGTCTCTCTCTCTCCGTCTCTCTCTCTCTCCGTCTCTCTCTCTCCGTCTCTCTCTGACTCTCTCTGTCTCTCTTTGTCTCCCTTTGTCTCTCTCTGTCTCTCTGTCTGTTTGTCTGTCTGTCTGTCTCTCTCTCTCTCTCTCTCTCTCTCTCTCTCTCTCTCTCTCTCTCTCTCTCTCTCTACCCTTCCTTATATTTTCTTCCTGATCGTCCTTCCTTTTTGTTCTCTCTTTTATTACTTTATGTCTTTTTTGATCCTTAATTTGTTTTCTTTCGCTCAATCCCAGTCGTTGGAAAACGCAGAATAATGAGATTCAGTTCATCGATCTTGTCTGCGTCTTGATTTTTACTCCTATTTTCTCTCTGTCAGTATTTCACTGAACATCCACCGGAACAAGCTATCTGTTCGGAGAGGGTGTTTCTAGCGTAGTATACAAGACCTCTCTTAGATACCCATTTCCTGTCGGTAGAGAAGAGGGTTGAGACCTAATCCCTTTTCAGAATTCTTAGATATTAACCACTATTAAATCTAAATCTGAAAACCTCTAAGTGAGATTTCAATAGAATAACCATTAATCCGCGGAGAGTGTCTCCCGTCTTTTCAATGTCTTTTAACGAATGATGTAAAAATCGACTGGGAGTTGTCGCGTTTGACTTCATGAAGAACGCAGTGCCGAAACGTAAAATCTATTGCAACTGACCTTACTGATAGATTTGATATATTTATGCTAAGGTTCTTAATTATGTTTCATCAATTTATTACTAATGAGTTTCTCCATTCAAACGCATTTTTAATCTACGTATAAGTATTTTATAAAGTGTGCAAAGTAAATTTTGTGTAATTTTGAAAAAAATTGAATGACGGCTCGGACATTTGAAAAAAAATCTCACCATCGTTGCATAATTTATGGAAGAGGATGTAAAATGATCCCTTCAAAAACTGCTCGCTTTTAATGGGATGAACCAACCATCTCATCTTTTTCTTTATAAGTTTCATTCCATTGTAATACGCAATCGCTAACTCTGTGGCTCTCATATTTGCTACAACAGGGCCATGGGACTTGCCACGTCCGTTGCACGGCCCGTGCCCTGCCAAGCAACGGACATCAACGACGCTCGTGAGACGCTAGCCTTGTACGAAATCATCGAATTATCGTAATTGTCGGTGTATAGAATTGTGTTACTCCTGCATAAAGATTTATCCTCCTCCCTCTCCTGCATTAAAGAGATTTAAAACAACAAAAATTCGTAATGATAGCTAATTTGGGAAATCACGCGAATATGCAACCCGCAACACAAATTAAACACACTATTTTTACCATCGTGCAAGATGGAAATAGCCCGGAAATGAAGCGTTCTAGGCCCTTAAAGCCAGGTTTTCATGTCTCTCTAAAAAAAAGTAAATATGTTTATACCGTATTTACAAAGTGAGGATTCTGGGCGTTCTGTTACGATTTTGGAAGGCCCTTTCACCTCGCAACAAAGGTTGCCAGAAATGCTGAAAGTTGGGTTACATTGTGAAGCTATTATAGCGGCTGGTTTAATTAATGAGGTGCTGCATGCAGAAATAGGACATGAAAAGAGATATGGTTAGTACTGGTGTAGGTCTATCGCGAGCTTTTGTATCGCACTTCTTTAAGAGTTAAGCTTCTAAATTTCAGTTTTTAAATATTGAACAGAATTATTATTCGTATCCATTCTAAACACAAACTAGTGGTGATAAAACAGCACGTATTTTTTCGTCCGTACTTTCACGCAAAATTACGCGAAAAATACTCAAATTTTCGAAAAATTGTACAATACCTTATTTCAAAATCTATATTTAAGGAACAGATTTCATTAAAGAAAAAATCTCTATCATCAATATTTCAGTTTTAGGAAGACTCCGAAAACAATTTTAACTTTTGCAATATTCGAAAAGTCAGGCTTTTCTATAAAAATGAGACACAAATCCCAATATTGAGACACACAAACAGTGGGGAAAGCGATATCAACTATACCCTTTCTTCGCTGCAAGCAGTAGTGACTAGCAGTCCCAGGGAGGGAAATAGAATTGCAGGAGAACACGGCGGAAGCTTTTCGCAAGTTACACATGCACCAGTGGGTTATATTGGTCATGCAATTGAATGAAATACTATTTTTCTTATTTTATTTTAATATCAAAGAGAAATTAAATAATTCTGACATGGACTGGGGGAAGGAGCTGCAGTCTTGGAGCCCACCCCCAGCAGCCGCAACTGAATATAGCAATGCTTTGCGAAACTTCTTTTGGCCTGATCTATTATATTTTTCAGAAGTTCCGCTGTTAATGGTACTATAACAAGATAGTACTTATGGGTACTACTATAAAACCTCCCGTTTCATCTGCCAGGGAAGTCACTGCACTCTCCGCCTCCATAATGTTTGTATATTTCGTGATAGAAAACAATTTTTTTTTTAAATTTGCTTTCAATTTCCGTATTAACTTGTGGAATCATGCGATGAACATACGGGGAGCATGAGTGAACATTGGGAGGAATATAATGTGAACGTATACAGAAACATATGGGATAAATGCAAGAAACATGTGGGAAACATTTTCACACTTATTCTTATATGCTATTTACATTGAACTCTTAGGGCCTAACTTCCTATCTAGATACTTACCTACTAATCTAAATCTACTTTGTCTTACTTTTTAACTTATTCTAACACCGAACACTATTTACATGTTTAAATTGTGCAATTGAAATTTATAGCTGTGATATAAATTTAAATATCATTAAAAATATTTATACTTAATAAGAATTGAATGACTTTCTTTTGAAAACTTGATGACACTAGATTAGTCTTGAAATTACTTCCCCGAGGTAAAATAGTCTCTGTTGGCTGTAATTTAAACAGTTATTGAAAAGTGGTACACAGATATATTTTTATTACATTATTTATTACAGGGTTGTGAGGTTTTGTTTATAAGGCGTATGTAAGTTAGATGTGACCTGTTCTGATCTTCGTGACAATAGTCTGCTCTTTTCGATTCAATGTGGAACTTGTAATAAGCTCACTAACTTCAATTCTCTTGTTCTTGTATGTAGTCTATGTAAAACTAAATTGATGCATTAATAGTGGCCACATGATGGACTTTAATGCCATTCAATTAATGCTTTATCGGACAGTTCTCGAGGTCGAAAGTTGTCTACACTATTTTTACTTTCAAAACAACAATTTACAAAGTGTGTAATGTTCACACGGCTAGTTTAAATTCAGCTAGTTTATATTTATTTAATATTACAAAGCCTCTTTCAGTTCTAAACCTGTCATCAGGAGAGTGGAAAACTTGGAATTCAACCTACTAATATTTCACGATTTAAAAACATACTAAACCAGGCAACCCTGCAGCCTTATCTATGGAAAAGTATTCAGTGAGTTACGTTAATGGAAGTTACAGTTGTTTTTGATGTTACACATGATTTTTACAGTTGTTAATGAAGTTACAGTTGTTTGTTACAGTTGTACATAGTTTTCTCGTGAGTGACTAGAGCCACCCACTCATCACTAAGAAAGCTACATCTCCACATTATTATTATTATTTTGATTACTTCATTTCTATATGTCTGATCACCTGTTTGTCAATATTGACTAGTGTTCTCCCATGATCTAAGTATTCACCTGACAAATGTATCACCTGTGGGGCTGTCTGCTTTATTTTGTTAATGAAAGCTACGTGAAACCTTTTGCTAAGAAGAATTTATTAGCTTGAAATTTTACTTTCGTGTGTCTTCGTTATGTACCTAATTTTCACGTAAGAGTATAGCAAAGAAATCAGGGCAAAAATTGTCAACTCAGGAAATACTAGTCTAACTACTGATAAATAGCTATTTGTAGATCCTGTTGAGTTATTTTATTCGCTATTTCTCTTTCTTTCTGTACAATGTTTTCGATCTAGATGTTCCTAACTATCCTAATTAAATTTATAAATCATGTCCTATTAGAAATATTTGTATAAACTTAGTGTAACAACAAAATGCAATGTGAATTTATGTATGATTTGTTACCACCAGTTTAATATTTGATGTGCTGTGTTCTAAAGATTTCAACTTTTTCTATTTACAGAGTCATGATTGCATCACCATCTCCCAGTTACTGTCCAGGGTAGAAGATAGTCGTGTAGTAAATGATAATGGATAACATCGTCACATCACTTACCTGAATCAAATGACCTCAGTAGTGCAGCAGATATAGCAACTCAATATCATTGGGTATTTAAACATTATTTTTCTTGGAATCTTTACATCACCTGCTATATTGTGAGGGTCTTGCTTTCAAATCAGCTAGTGTTGTGTTTTTTATCATGTATGGAGTGTACAACTGTGCCCTGGCTTCAAGAACTGGAAATTTTACTCTGATCTCATCAGCTAGTCCTACATAATGTCAATATCCTGATCAATGCAAACAAAAAAGAATTATTGATATACATTTGAATAGAAAACATTGAGCATATGTATTATAAGTGTTATTTGAGGGAATATGCTGAGATTTTGGAGCAGATGACTCGTTAATTACCAGTTGTCTTTTTCTAAAGGCACACATTAGTGTGATACTACAAAGAGCTATCAATACATAACTCGTTGGCATAATATTTCACATTACTGACTTTAATAATGTTTTTATGACTGCTATTACAATAGGTGTCTAGTGGCAGTGATAATTATTTCTGTGTTAGTATAATGCTAGAATGTGCAGTATATCAAAAGTCAGGAATGTGCCTACTGTTGTCTGAGGGGAGAAAGAGAAAATGTGAAGTACCAGCGAGTGAGCACATAAAAGTCTTGATCCTGCTGTGCTTTTTATTACTGGTTCACTGATTAAGAGAGCAAAATATCATTTATTTTTTGATCACCTTTGTATTTGTTTCCTTTTATGTACATTTACATGTGCACATTCTTGTATCTTGTGCTAAATAAAATTAAATTTATGATTGTATTAATATATCTGTGATTTACAACTTTTATTGTTTTTATTTCAAAGTACTTTATTCATTTTTCTCCTGAACTGTTGACATGTATTTTCTTGTAAACTTTGGATATCTTTAAATTTGGATTAACACACACAGAAAATCGTATTAATTTTCTCTTCAAACACATTGAATCCGGGCTGGCCAACATGCGCTTTTCGGGCGCGAGTGCTCGCTAGCAGCGCGGAAATTTTTTAATTATTTCCAGTTTCGGAGCGCTCGACTGTTATTAGCCGAATCGAGATATTAATTTAAGAGCATATTTTTGATTTTGGACCTCTGGTGTGGCGTTTGCGAAACATCGAAGCTCGCTGAGGTGCGATCCCGGATTCGAGGAAAAAGTAGAAAATAAGAAAGTTGTAGCTTTCCTTTAAAATCGTCTCAGTTTCTATAGCTGTATGGTGGAGAAAAGCTCAGGGAGGCGCCGTTTGTTAGTTGCGGTGAAGGGAACACGTCCTGTTCGCCACATGTCCCTCTTACCCCCAAGCGTCGGAATTAAATTAGGCCACGGCATCGGGACACCGTCGGCAGAGTCGGACACTCAACCCAAAATGCCAAATGTATATATTTTTGCCTTTGTAAGTGCAGCTTCCAAAATGTGATCGTGGCGAATCATGGCATGGCTAACATAATATCAAACTTATTACAAATTGTGAACCATATTATATATTCTGCAAAACTGTTATTCTGGCAATTTTCTTGAAATTTATTTCGCAAAACATATTTAATGAATTATTTTCTCTTAATTGCCGTTTTTACTTTCACGCTACGGCTACCGAGAGAGAAAATTATGTAACGCTGCGCGAACGGTGAATTTTCGGCTCTTTCAAAAAAAAGTGTCCGAAATTGAAATTGTCATTCATATCCAAACGAATCATATTATTACTCAATAAATCGAATTCAACTGAATTTGGGAAACGATGTGAAATTAATAAAGTTTTGAAAACATTTTCGGGTCAGTGTTTTATTTTAGACTTGTAAATAAAGTAGGCGTAAATCAGTTCCTGTGTTGCATGCCACCCTTCCCGGCAATTTTCCTTTTCGCGCTTCGGAAGGTATAATAAATTTGGTTACCCAGGCTGACACGACGTATAATAACCAGAATTCTGTTCTAGGATGAATAGAAACGTGAATCAAAGAATATTGTACTCTAGTAGCAGAAAAGCAACTGAAACAGCAAAGTAGGAACTCGTCCGTGGTACTAGGTGCAGATGAAATGTTTGTTTTAATATTTAATTGATTTGGGCGAATGCTCTTTCATCTTTCGTTCAGCAATAAAATTTAATGATCTATGATTGCAAAACGTTTGCATCTTCTAACATGGCTTTCATGGCATTCTGTATAAACAAATCAGATTAGGATATGTATGATTAATAACCAAGTTTTTCTAAAAAAATATCATTTACTTAAACCGCTACATTTGTTAAGGCGTGCCGCCCAGGAAGAGTAATTATCAAATTTACTTTGTTATTCATCAATATGATAGCATGAATCAAGAGCGAAGTTGAACATCTCTTAATCGATAAGAAACAAAACATTAGTTAGGAGGGCATCGTTTAGACGAGTAATAATAAACTCTAGATGTCAGATGAAGATACATAATTTATCTATATTGGAATTTTATAATTGCATTGAGAGGTGTCGTCAGATACCTATACCAGCAGTACCTGACAAGGAAGCCAATACAAAAAAAACACTCATTGTATTAATAATATTCATGAGCAATGGGGTGACAGTATCTAACAGCTCACGTACAGGAGAATTCACATACAAATAAATCTTCTTTACAATACTAAACTATACTGAGCATCCAACAGGAAAGAAATATTAAATTTAACAATGATATTTAATGTATTATTACCATTGTGGATTGGCATTAATTATCATATAAGATCTCCATGTTGTCAGGAAGTCTTATTCCTTTACAAAGGCCACAATGAGGGATAAGAAATCCAAATCTGTAGCTGATTTACCCTCCAAAATAATTTTTTTACATAAGAACAAATTTGTTGCTTGATGTAATAAAAACCACAATCCTTGCAAAAATGCTTATTTTTTTCTATTTTCAAAATTCAAACAACTATAGGCTTACAGTAGGATCACATAATCATTGAAAACATCTCCAAAATTCACTTATCCTTTTGCACATCACAACACAAGCTTTTAACTGTTTTTTGATATAAATAAATGAAATACGTGACAGTGACAAAATACATGTATTAATTATGCAAATACTTTAATATTTAATACATGTATTATAGTTTTATTGTAAGTTTCTTGCCGTAATAAAACAGACTGATTTTTTATAACAATTTATTTAATGTTATTAATGTATTTTAAAGTTTTGAACCTTAATGAGTCTTTTTCAATAAACTACTAAAAATATAAAGTAAGTTTTATTCAATAAAATGGTAACACACATCTGATAAAGATGATACATTTGAGACGAATTGAACAATAAATTATATAAAAAACAAATTAAGACATACCACCTGTCCAGACTATTGGACATTCATAAAATGGTAAGCATTTAGATTATTTAAAAAATTTCCATCACACGTCTGACATACCAAATTCAACACTGTTCTATGCTCTATGTCGTGTTTATTATAAAATCTGAATTAACATAGTTGACAGAGTTACAAATGATACAAACCTTCTCTCCTTTTGACTTATGAAATATGAATGGACTGGGCGAAGCTGACAACCTTGGATCATATTTATAAGAATGACATTTTTTTCTTATCTAAACATGGACCGTTTTTTATATTCAACTAGCCTGCTTCCACCTATGTATGTCTTAATTTGCTTTTAATGCTGATTACTTTTTCAATCTCTCGATGCATCACTTTAGTCAGATTGGCATCATAATTGCATCACCTTTACCTCTTAGTGAAATAAGTACTTACTTTATCATTTTTTAGGTTGCTATTGAAAAAGACCCCAAAATAGGTTGGAATGTTAAATAAATGAATACATGAAATTTAAAGTGTTATAAAAAAACTCATCTTTGTATTAAGGCAAAAACTTACAATAAATAAACATTAAAAATGTTAGACATTAAAATATTTTTCACAAGTTCAGTATTGAAACTTGAATTCAATTTATTACCATTAATGGATAAATAGAAAAACATATCTTGCTTTTAAAACTCTTAAGTCTCTTGTGCTGATTGCACCAGATTTATTTAAAAAGGATTTTTCCAAATCTCTTGTTTTTAATTTTAACAAAGTAAATCACTTCAAACTGCGTACCAAACCTGTATTTTTTCATTACTCAAGCCTTATAATCAGTAGAACCCCCAATAATCTGAATTTTGGGGTGTAGTCTATTCTATTCTCATATCTCACTCCCGAAAAATGTTTACCGCCTCTTATACAAATACGTCTAATATATTATCAGAACAATGCAACATGTCGTGTATTCTGAGAAAATTGAAAAGTAGAATAGCGATCACATTATCACATTATTACATTTCATCTTCAAGGTAGATTTACATTCCTCATGGCAAAAAAAGATTACCATTTGGCTAAGTGAAAATTGCTTGCTACATAAATTGTTATACACATCTAGTTACCCAGGTAATAAACATTTCATTTTGGGAACAACTTGTGTTTCAATAATTATTATGTTCATTCTACATAAGCTATAAAATCCTCTTACCTACAAAAACTATTTTTGTTTTATTTTCCTCCATCCTGAATTTTATTCAGATTAGCTAAATTTCAGATTAGTGAGTTCTACTGTAGCTTTTAATGATGACGAAATAAAAGGGACTTATATCAAAATTTCACTTATATCTGCGCTCATATATGTCATCATTGATATTATTGTTTATAGGTGTCCCAGATTTCATTTCCTATTTAATTATAAATATTTATTTTATCAGAGATCTCACTGCATTTATTTGTTCTGACAATAGTAACTTTATTTCTTGTTATCATATTGGCATTAGAAAAGCATTATAAATGTTTACGTTACCTGTTAAATGATTTTAGTTTGTTCATAAATATTTATATTGACATAGATGATAATGGGTGAGAGTTTAATATTATAGCTATGTTCTTAGTCCCTGTTTAAAAATTCAATTAATTTTCTTTTTACATTCCAGCTGTAAAACATCATGAATCCCAAAACACATTCTCCTTACTATAAAGCGTATGGAAAAACTCGAGATGGTATACTAATTGGTAGTTAGGAGAGAGCACAAGAAAATAGGAATTATTAATATGTAATATTATATAGTAACAAGAAATAAACAAATAATGAAAAAATTACTAAGTTATACATTTTAAAAGATAAAATAGGATATAAAAAATAAAATATTAGCAATAATATCTTTTCTAACAAATAAAAATTTCATGATGAAAAATGTATATTGTCTTAAGACAATCAAAGAATAGATGGCTAATAACCAAGAATATATTAGTTGGTGTGTGTGCTAATAAATAAATAACTAAGTGTTTATTTGATGTTTTAAAAAATAAAAAGCTTCACAATGTTCATTAGAGGCTGGTGTTCACCGCATTGCATTATATTCTGTCACCATGTAAACATCAGCAATATAGAATAAATTTTTCTTTCATCAGGTAAAAATTTGTATGAAAATCTGAAATATAATACAATAAAAATTTTCCTCCGAGAACAAAAGATGGTTTTAAAGACATTTAAGAATGTTTTTTAAAATAAAGGATCTAAATGCTGCTGACTGCTTGATGATGACACTAATATAATATATCAAAGAACGAACAAAGCAAGCTTTGCAAGACAAAGCCAATTCAGCATCAGCAAGCTAGTTCAATGGGATCACCATCCAACACAATTACCATAATTCCTAAACCACAGACAAAAACATCAATAATACCCGCCACAACTACCACTGAACATAGAGTACTCACCAAATTTAACATTACAAGGACAGCCGCATCACACAAGCACAGAAAACAAAAATTTCTCAGAATCACCTTATGATCCAAC